TACTACCTGATACAAAATTTGTATTTTATAACATATTTTAAAAGTTATACAGTTATGTTTCATATGTATCTTTTCTAATCCGGTCGGTATGATCGGCTATATACACATAATTAAGTTTACTAATCATCTTAGTGTATTAGAGTAGTGGAAAGAATTGGACCCACTCTCCAATATGTTTAAACCCCATCATCATCATCATTACCAACAAAAAAAAAACTTCACTTTGGCCCTTGTGGCTCCGGGGCATAAACTATTGAATACTACAATGTTTTCTTGACATCTACGGCTGATATATAGTTACGATTTGATCAATCATGACAATCTTTGACGAATTTTCCCTTCCTATCAATGTGAGTTCAACCCTTGCCGTAATTGCTAATAGAAAATTCACATTTTAAGAAAATAGTTTGATAAAGTTTATAAGATCATTATAAGTTTGACATTTTTCAAGACAAATATTATGAATTTTCGCAAATTTGATTAAGGAATTAGAGATTTAATGTATAGTCTAATCAGAAGATAAGAAATTATGGATTTTTCACTAAAAGGATGTGAATGAAATTAGCTATAAAGTATTGGTAGCCAACATAATAATAATTCAAGTTTGAAGATAACAAAAACATGGTGAATGCCAGGAATGGCAGGAAGTAGAATTTGGAATTTGAATCAACAGCTTTGTAAATAAAAAATTTGTTAACGAGTCGCATATGTTTTACAGGAATCTTGATTTGTTTATTGGTGTTTACACATATATTTATTGTATTATTTTAAAAATAATAAAGCGACCTTAAGCCTCTTAAGAAAAGTTAGTTAGTACTTAAACACTAATGACTGACGAAGTATTATTATCGTCGCATTATTAGTCAAATATATCCGTTTTAAGTTTATCTAGTTGTTGACAAAAAAACTCAAATATATCTATCCGTTTTCGTTTTAGGATTGGATTTGATAATTTGAAAAAAATGGTTTATAATCTTAAAATGTCATTTTATGTATATGCAAACATATAAGTAATTAGTGTTAAGACAATAGAGATTACACTTGATCCCTTCTCGGGCCTTTCGAAGAGCTCCCGAAGTTCCGTCGCTTTGGCCGGAGCTTTTTTTGGTCCGTCATCGGTGACGGTTTGCTTTTTTTCCTCTATCCCTTGAGATGATGACTTCCATCTTGAGTCGAGCCCTCTTGTCCTCGCCGGACGGTAAACTGCGTGTAGCTCAGAGCTTAGCTCACTCTCTTCGTTGGATGAAGCCATTCTCAGGGATAAAAATCTCTCCTCTACCGCCGGAACCACCGGTTCCTCCAGATCTATCGGATCTATCCTCATTGTCATGTTACGGCTACTCATATGTGAGGATTATCTCACCTACACCTCAGTTTGCGGCTTCTAGCTCTGCCTCGCCGACTGTAAAGAACCCTCCCTCGTCGTGACCTCTGTTTTCTGCTTTGGAAGGAGAGGAGATGTAGATCTGACTTCCACCTCTCCTGCATTTTTTTCGTCGTGTTTACTACACTCCGGCCATACACACGGCTCCCCCTCCACCTCCCTAGCAGCTGTAAACCCTACCCCCACCTCTACATTAAACTATGGGCCTACAATCTATGGGCTTGGCCCAACCTAAGTTCTGGGCCTCCTAGCCCATTAAGAAAGAAGAGAGGGGATTTATCAGATCTTTTACATGATTTGGTGGGCCTCTTGCAGCCCAGCAACATAATTTGGAAAAAGACCCAGCAACATTTCGATGTTGTTTCTCTACAAATCTGGTATACGACCATTCACGATTTATCCCTTCAAAGTTGTACCGCCTTTCTTGTCGATTTAGGCAAAGTTATTACAAAGCTCGTTAAAATCTTTGTCCTCCAAATCGAGCCTGGAGAGACCAATTCGCCTTCACTGTGCTTCATTCCATCAATCGTCGAGATTCATATCTCCACGTATGAGAAGGCCAAAGTTTTCTGGATTCTCAAATCTTGTAATTTGCAAAGCTCGACATCTTCTCTGGTGAGAGAAGATCAAAGTTTTTTAGATTCTCAAATCCTGTAATTTACTCCCGGTGGAAGAGTTCAATTCCACCTCCTTCCATTTCTTTGAGATTGGTTGTATCTTCTTCCCTCTTTTGGAGAGTGGTAGAATCTCCAAACTCTTTGCCGGGATCTTCAAAGTCACATTGGAAAGTGACCAACCTGAGATTCTCCGGCTTTGCCGCGAAGACCCTCTTGACGCATCTGAGGCTTGCTTTGGATTCGTAGGCCATCTTTTGGGATGATCTATATGCATGATCTATGTTTTATTGCTTTTCAATTATGTTGTAGTAATTTTGGGAGATGTTTAATTTTCTCACTTTGTACTTTGTTCGATTAAACGAATGAAATAAGCTTGTTGAAAAAAAAAAAAATAGAGATTTATACTTTAAATTGAGATGAGACAAAGTGAGACGGAAGATGCAGAATGGACACAATAATATCAATTATTTTAGTACTATTTTTCCTGCCTTACACCGTCTTTATTCGAAACTTTAGTTAAAAACGCAAAAATAATGATAATAAAACCAATAAAATTACAAATTCGGTCAGATTTCAGTTTTATTTGTGTGATCATTGACATATCGGTACGATGGATTCTTAGGTTTAGCACAAACTACTTTAGGATTGTGGGGGCATACATAGTGACGTACGCAAGATTATAATAACATTTTACACATCGATCAAGAGTTTGTGGCATTTTTTCATTCGTCTTGAAAGTAAAAAAAGGATATAGTTGGGGCATTACAGAACCCCCATCCAGACCTTTCCCATGAGAATAAGTAGATTAGATTTTCCAAGTGATTCTGATAAGTAAATATTTTGTAATCTATAAAAGAAGAAACACATGTGCTATAACCATATCAAATAGTACCATTTGCAAGCACAAAAATGAAATTGATTCCCAATTCAAATTCGGTAGTAAATATTATGTATTTTATGA